ACCAGGAAGGAAAACTGATTAGATCAATCACAACGTGTTAGGCCAAATGTTACAATCAGCAATACCATACCATCAAGCGCAGCTTAGAAAATGACAATTTGTGGTAGTTATTAATCTATCACATTTAACTATGTGAAGTATAATCCCCTGTGCCTCTGTAGTGTGGGACCAGGTAGCAGAAGAGCTGGAAGGTGGGGGCGGGGATGGAATTGGGCCTTGCAGGCGCCCGCGTGGCTAAGTGGAGCACCGGATGAAGGCGGGGCTCCAAGCCGCTCCTGGGACCTCACAGTCTGTGGACTTATTCTTAAAATAAGATTCCCATGACCCAGTGGGAAAGATAGCAGATCAGTATTTACAGAGCATGTGACTAACTGGACTTAGTTTTCTTGTCTCCTGCAAGCCCCCACTTCCACCTCTCTCTCATCCTTCTCCCTGTTCTACAATGATTTTGTTAAATATGTCCCCAGCGTCCATTTTTACTGCCTCCCTGTGTTCTTGTTACTTCCTGATAGTTTAGCTTCAACCAAACTAAACTGGCTTATGCTAGATAAAAGCATTTCTGCCTCTAATATTCCAACTCTGCCTGCTGCTATTATTCCAGCTGTATCTGTTGCAAATGCACCACTGTATCCCATCTCTGGTTTCCAAGTCACTCACACTAAGCATTTATTCCACTAATTTCATAACATGGTAGAGCATCAGGGCTGTGGCAGTAGTGTTGGAAAGTCACAGGAAGAAACATTTTTCAATATGTTCTGCTAGTCTGTAGACTCCCGGGCCATTCCTTCTCCTTTGTCTCTACAGAGAAGCAAGTTCCTCTCCCTGTCTCCTGTAGAGTGGTTCCACCCACAGGCATGAGCCCTTCTGGCTTCAAACACTTGGAAGACAAATGCAGTTCCCATCTTTGGGGGTCTGTTAATAAATCTGTTCTCTTTGATCCATCCCAGTGTGTATAAAGTGCTATAACATCTCCAAGGCAACAGTCAAGAAAGTTTCACAGAGGATGTGGAATCTGAGCAAAAATTCATTAGGATTTTCTTCTTAGACTTAAGTGCCTCTGGTCACATAAGAGATCACGTAACATAGCATCAGCCAATCAAAGCCCTCCACTCTCTAGACCCACCCACCCCCAGCCCCTGTTCTAACCTGATTCAATGGAATGCTCTAGCACTGAAATATCATGCTTAAGCAAGCAGAGGCACAAAGAAATAAAAGCGAGAGTTGAGTTCTCTTCTGAGGATCCTATCTGGGGCCATGGTGTAAGGGTCTCAGAACAGTCTGACCCCTCTCTTTCCTGATTCTGTGAGCTGCCTCTGCTACCTTCCCTGGAATCACATATTATGTGTGTTATGTTTATAACTCTCTATATACAGTGGTACCTCAATTCATGAACTTAACTTGTTCTACAATTTTGGAAAAGATGGCCACATTTGTGTTTGTATGGGAAAGATGGGCACAGTCGTGTTTGCCATCTGAGGCTGAGAGTTTGCAAACAAAAGCAAAATTTTGCCAAATGTTTCTGTTTGCCAACTGAATTGTTTGCAAACAAAAGCATTCATGAATCGAAGCATCAGTGTATTATGTGAAATTTTTTCACTGTTGTCAATAAAAGAACTTTTAAAACCTTATCTGAAGGATGAGTTGAACATTCTTTTGTTCTTGTAGAAGTCTTGTATCAATTACAAGAACCGGAGGACAACTGCTGCTCTGGGTTGTATAAATGCCAACAGATGTTTACTCTCTAAATTCTTCTTTGTAAACCTTTTTCTAAAATGTGATAATTATATCACAAATCGAATAATAATGCAATTGAGTTGACAGCATTTTATTTAGAATAGATGTGTTCCAGTCACCTGGGAAAGCTCTTCTCATCTTGATTTGGTTTCAGCACAAACCCTGCTACCACCAGCCACAGATCCTCTAAGAAGATCATTCTGGATCCATTCCACATTGTTTTAAAATAATTTCCATTTCAGAAGAAGATCTTTATCTGAACTCATCCCATGAGTCTTTGGGGAATCTTATAAGGGCAAAGAAAGAGAGGGTATCAGGAGTACTGGGAATCAAGATCTTTACTTCTGTCTGAAACAAGGTTGGTGGCTCTTGCAAATCTCTTTCCCTTTCTCTGAATTAAACATTAATGTCTTGGTGCTGGCACCTTTCCTATTCATTCAAGTACTATAGGTGGGGTTGTCAAGACAGTGTTCAGTGGCTCTGGTCCTGAGCATTTTAGATTTAAGGGATTTTTGCCCCCAAATCCACAATATTTGAAGTCCCTCCCACACACACACCAGTGTTGCTTAAAATGCCCACATCCAAGAGAACATTTCTAAGGCAGACTCTCCAGAAAATGATGGACGTGGACCATGTAGCAATGAGGTTTCCATGGGAACATGTTCTGAGAATTGAAATAACCGTGTTGGGTACCAGCAGAAAGATAATGGCTCTTGTTCCTCAGAAAATACCTTTGAACCAATTTCTGACCACAGGTTGACCTTAACAGGCCCTCCTTGGGGTTTCCCTGACAGTTCATTTATAGAATCAAGATCTGAGGCTTAAATGGGACAGAACCTGACAGAAAGTTCTTGGAGAGATCAAGCAATGAGAAATCTTATAAATGATCATTGACTGAAATGGGAAGCATCCTAAATCTATTTTTCCCTACAAATACAAAAAACCTATAAATATAAAAATCATGCTAAAAGAAATAGTTTCAACCTCCCACATGCCACATCACACATCCTCTTTTCAAATTTTCCTCTAAGGCCCATTTCCTTTAGGAAATTATGCATCCAAAGGTATCAGGATATTTTTGGTTCTGAGAAACAAAAAGTGTACCTGCAATTAACTTAATAAAGGGAATTTATTGGCTCACAAACTGAGAAATTCCAGTGGTAAATTAAGGCTTCGAGCAGGGCTGTAATCTTTGTAATTTTCTCAGTCTGATCTCCCTAATGGTTTTGCTCTTGGGTTGGCTTTCCTCTTGGCAGAATGAATCCAGTAATTTCAGACTCAGATCTGCTTTTAGTCCCATGCAGAGTAAGTCTTTGTGTTCCAGAATTCTCCCTTTAATGCCTTCTGGTCATTCTGATTGGATTGGCTTACTTAGGTCTGCGTGTCCTCCCTTGGCCCAATCCTGCCAGGATATAGAACACACTGATTGGATTAACCTCCAGCAGTGTCTTATTCCAACCTTTGAACTAGGGGTAGTTTCAGCTTCCCTAGAGCCACACAGATCCCCAAGTGGAAAGAGAACCCACAAAGGCAAATGAGGGGCAATTGGGTTAAGAAGTGAGAAATACATTCTTCAAAGGCAACCAGCAAGTGAAGAATACCAATTAACTCTTCCTATCTCAAATTTACTTAAAATTGGACCATTCACTCCCGTTTAATGATTTCTGGGTTCAATGATATTTTCCTCTCCTTTTTCATCTTTTGTTTTATTCTGTCCTGAATCTCAAACATAAGCATGAAGCCTAGCCTTAATTATATCAACAGACTAACACTTCTGTTTCCAACCTGTGGGATGATGATGATGATGATGATGATGATGATGATGATGATGAAGAAAATGTGAAAAGAGGAAAAATACTTGAAAATATTTCTCACTTCACCAAAAAAAAAAAAAAAGCTCAGAGTTTAATTCTAACCTTTATGAGATCATAGGGATAATGCAGGCTGCAATCCACAGGTAGGAAAAATAAAATTATCCCTAGCCCAGGAGGGAGATCCAAAAGTTGAACTGGACGAACTTCATAGAAATTCAGACAATATATAATTTTTTTCTTTAACTACTGAAAGACACTTATAGAAACTCAGCTAATCACATCTTCCAAATCAATCATATAAATAAGATATTATATCTTGCACAAATATATAAGTAGGAGATACTTATAAAACACTTGAATAGATCACATTATATTTAAGGTAATGAAATGCAAAGGCAGTGACTCTTCTATTAGAAAACCTGAATCTCACAGACTCAATTTGTTACCAGTCAACCGGCTCCCTTTGCTCACAGCTCTTCAAACAAACCACAGGAGCCACACATTTTTGGTGAAAAGGAAAAAGGTTTTATTTGAAACTAGCTCCAAAGAGATGGAGGGGCCTTATACTGCCACAAATCCTCATTTCACCGTGTCAGGTGTGCAAGGGCCTTTTATAGTAAGGAGTAGAGATGGGAGGGATGCAATGAGACCACAGACAATCCCAAGCATGCTTCATTTCTTCTGGCCTTGTCCTGCTCCTTTCCTTCCCTGTGAAAAAGAAAGTGGACTCTGGCCACCTGGAGTCAACATCTACGAATTCTATCCATTCATCTGGGCTGAGGAAGGAGGGTTGAAAGAAAGGACTAAGGAAATTTGGAGAAACAGCTTGACTCTCAAAGAAAAAATTCTAACTCTTAAAGATCTATTTTGCCTTGGTGGTTACAAACTCACAGTATGGGTCATCAACAGATACCCAGATGGGTTCTCCTACAGAACAAAGCAATATAGCCATGGTTTAAGGACTGATTGCTAATGGATGAGTCATTTCCTGATCTACAACAGCATCACTCCACCACCACCACCACCAACATGAATCACCATGCCACGCCTCCATTCTCCTCAACCTCCATCCACCACCATGACTCAGATCTACCATCAGCCACCAAAACCACTGCCAACACCACCAGCATCAGCATCAGTTATCACTGTCACAACATCACCCTCACTGCAACACTTATATTTATATACTTGCTTTGCAGAACGCACTCACACACATAATCTCATCAGATCTTATCTACTGGGTAAGGCTAGCCAATGTGGCATTACTCTCTTCATTTTGTCTGTAAACTACATTCCAGGGAGGTGGTGTGGTGTGTACACAGACACGAAAGCAGTGATAATCAAGTCCAAAGTAGAGTCCAGACCTTCTGAGTCCAAAATAAGTGTATTTCCCAATGCACTCCAGTCACACAATGAAAATGAAGAATCTGTAACTTCTAATATAAACAACTGTGGTTCTGAATTCAATGGAGTCAGTATTTAAAAGGAAATGGCCCTTTGGTTCCATCTATCCCAACTTCTACAAGTTCCAGGTGAGCAACCAGCCACTCAAACTTTATGTGACTTGTCTCTAGAAGTTGAATTTTAACCTAGAGCATTTCACTCCAAATCAGCCTTCTTTCCATGACAAGAAACCACCTGTTTCCTTGGAGTATCCTAGATTCTTGGAGTATCCTAGAGCACAGAGTTTGCTAGGGAAGGGCAAGTATGGCTTCTGCTGCCCCCACCCTAAAGCATCAGAAAGTCTCACAGGGATACAGACTACTGGTGTCGGGCCACATGCCCATCAGCCAGAAGTGCCCATACCGTGGTGATCCTCTATCTGTCCCATTCAAGGGCTCAACTCCTCTCTCCAGGTTCCAGGAAACCCAAAGCTGCACCTACTGGAAAAAAGGTTGGAGCCTCCCACTGGAGATCTGCTGGCTTGACTTTCAAGGAATACCCTGGGCTCCGGTTTGGGGCCCACTGTTTCCGCACTTGGACACCAGGCTGGCCTGGCTAGGCTGCAGGACAGCTGTGTTGCTAATGATCAGTGAGGAGCACTTGGCCATCTTGCTCTGGAGTCCTTTCTTTTTGAGTTCAAAGGTCAAATTGGAATAGTAAATATCTTCCAAGGACTTATCATTCTTCCTGAGGATGTTGCTGGCCAACTGGAAGAGAAAAATCACCCCAAAGAAGCCGATGATAGTGAGGATGTACCAGACTGCACTCATCCCCTCCAGCAGCCACAGAGCCCTTGTGGAGTTGGTGCTGTTTCTCTCTGCCAGGGGATAATCCAGAAGGGAGATGGCACTTGTCTGGTTGGAGGCTCCCAGGGGCATCCACGTGATAACTGCGAAATACAGAAGTCAAGATAAGACAAAGCATTTTGGGCTGAGGACTACATGGCCAAGCCAATTCTTGTATCCATATTAGTGACCAGCTGGGACTGCTTAAGTTAAGAGGCATTCTCTATGGAGTGAGCAGGAGCCTAACAACCTATATGTCAACAGATTTTTTTTTCTTTAAATCTAGAGTTCAACACAAAGTTGTAGAATAGGAGATGAAACACCATAAAGATGTCCATCTCCCCAGATAATCTATACATAGACAAAGGATTCATTTAGAAAAAGTCACTGTCAAGACTAAGTAGGAAAAATCCAGGACAAAAAGAGTCAGTTACCCTAACCAGAAATTTAAAACTAGCCAACCAAAGAAGTTAATTTACATTTTCTTAAATGAATGAAGTTAGTAAGCACACAGATCAGCTGATCTTTGCACAGGGCTTGGGGGAATCTTCAGAACCAGGTACAACTCGCCCTACCATGTCTTCCTGCAAAACTACAACTGCTAAAACAGTGTGATGCTGATACAAGGGCAGGAGACCAATGGAGTAGAGAGAAGACTCCATCCTCAGGCGAGGAACTGCACCTGGGTGGATGAAAAAGGAGCATTTCTGATTAGTAGCGAACAGGTGGGTTATTCACTAAGTAGGATTGGTGCAATGTAGCTTTGGATTCACATTTCTCACTGTAGCTCCCCAAACAGTCCAGATAAATCAAAGATATTAACATAAAAGGTGAACTAACTAAGTACTAGAACATAACTATGGCAGAGTTTTGTCTTTATTATCTCAACAGTGGAACATCCTTCCTATGCATAACACAAAAATCCAGAAGAAGGAATAAAATAAAAAGTTAAATTCATGTGCATATTACTTTTATAAAGTTATTGCATACCATAAAACCCAATGACAAAGGACAAACTGGAGAAATATTATAATTTGTATGATTCATTTTCTTAACAACTGTCAATTCTGTAGGAAAAAAAAAGTCTAAAACCTCAGTAGAAAAATATGCCAAGGATATAGCAAATAGATTATAGGGGAAAAAATGGGAACATAAAAAACCACCTCAATGTCATGCCTATGGAAAAAGCAAATTAAAACTGAGATAACATTCCATAACCTATTAGGTTTGCAAACTTCTGATGTTTCAAAATACACTGTGTAGACAGACACACCTGCTGGGTAATGAGGGCCTTTTATAATTACTGATTAAACGTAAATTCATACAAGCAATATGGAGTGCATATATGCAAGATCTATGGGTATTACAAATGCACTTACCTTCAACCCAACAATTCTACTTTCAGTAATTTGTCCTGAAGATGCTGTACAACATGTCTGAAACAATGAACAGACAGCCCTCCATATTCACGGCTTCCATATCCATGGATTCAAATAGCCACAGATTAAAAACATTCCGAAAGGAAAAGCTAAGTCAGTACCAAACAGGTACAGACTTTTTCCCTTGTAATTATTCCCTGAACAGTACAGTATAACCACTATTTACAGGCATTTACATTGTATGAGGTAGCATATGTAATACAGAGATGCTTTGAAGTATATGGGAGGGTTGCATAGTTTATATGAAGATACTACGCCACTTTATATAAAGGACTTGAAGTGCCTGCCATTTTGGTGTCTGTGGGGGCCCTGGAACCAATTCCCAATGATCCCAAGTGATGAGAATATTCTTCAGGTTCGACATTGCAGTCTTGCTTGTGCTGAACAATGCCTGGGATCAAAGTGAACACAAGGGGGTGGCTAAATACATTTTGGAGAGCTGGATGTGGTGGTGTACAGCTGTAATCCTAGCACTCAGGACTGCTATGAGTTCAAGGCCAACCTGGGGTGCACAGTGAGTTCAACACCAGCCTGAACCACATAGCAAGACCCTGTCTCAAAACAACAAAAATAAGTGAGACTTGGAATTTCTATGCCAGAAAACACAATGCAGCCATAAAAAGATTTTTAGGTACTAAATAATAATAGCTTTAAAAAAGTGAATATATCATATGCAATAATGCATGTTAAAAAGGGGAGGTACATTTTATTTGCCTGTAGTTTATATATGTATATGTGTCAGTCAGCTTTCCTTTTCTGTAACAAATGCCTGAGATAAATCAACTTTTTTTTTTGTACCAGGGCTTGAACTCAGGACCTTGTGCCTGCAAGGCAGGCGCATTGCCACTGAGCTAAATCCTTGGCCCAGATAAATCAACTTTATCAACTTTTAAAGAGGGGAAGCTGGCCACCTCATTGCAGCTGGGAAGCATAGAGAGAGGAAAAATATGGGGCCCCAATAGCCTCTTCAAGGCCATGCCCCCAGTGACCTAATGTCCTCCCATTAGGCTCCACCTCTTAAAGGTTCCACCCCTGCCCAACAGCGCCACGGGCTGGAGGGCAAGCTTTTAACACACAGCCTTTGGGAGACACTTATGCAAACCACAGCCACATGGAATATCTCTGGGAGAATTCTCAAGAAATTAGCCCCTGTGGTTACCTCTGGGGAAGAGAATTGGGGGAAGGAGATGTACTTTTCACTGTCTGCCTTTTGTACATTTTGTACCATGTGCATTTATTTTTATAAAAAGAAATTAATTTTAAAAGGCACAATTACAAATTGGTGCTTTTCTGGTCTCCTTGGTGAAGTGCCCCTGGGTAGAGAGACTATGTGCCCTTGTCTGTCAGAAGATAAAGATCTCAATTGCTGTTTAATTCAAAACTGTGTCCTCTGCTTGGAGAGGCAGGGAAGGAAATGAAACAATGAAAACCAGAGAAGTAGTTCACAGTCCTCAGAGACACTTCCCAGGTGAGCTTCACTGGTTCCAACTCCCATTGCTTGCTCCTCAGGAATACAAGTTAGATTTGTCATGGGCTGACCGAAAGGGCTCCATAAATACCTCCTGGTTCAGATTTGGTTTTTGCTAATTCATTTTTCTAATGCAGGACTCAGAGAGGTCAGCATTTTTTTATTATGGTTAATTGCCAGAATGAGTGAATAATCCTATTAGTTTTAGATGAAGAGAGAATCTATTTAAAAATAACTCTCTAAACCACATGCAACAAAGCCTAGGATAAATGAACAGATTTAATTACATAAATTAGTCACTCATAAAAAAGCAATCTGACAATCATGAATTTTATAACACCACTGGTGGAATGGTTTGAGACCTGGAAGTTTTAAATGGGGGGAAATTTCAAGTCAATCCAATAAGAAGACAATAAATCTTAATTATGATCACAGAATGTTCTGGAAATTGTTATAGAATGATGTGATATATTCAGGTACAGAATAAAATATATTTGACTAAGAATACAGAACATTCAATTGCTTTAAAGCAGCACATTTTCCACATGAAAGAAACTCATTAATTATTATAATGCATTGTATTTTTTTTTAAAGGTAAGAGATTGTATCTCAATGCACAAACACATCCTATAGCAGAGATGCACCATGTGACTCTTGCTATTTAACGATGGGAAATAAATAAGCAATTCAAGAGCTGCACTGGGGCAGACAGAACACTCACCTTCCATGAGCTGGCTTGACCTTGACTCTCAGCAGGCAAGTTCCAGGTTCTGCCCTGAGAGGGGAAGGGGAGAAAATGAGGCCTCCCAGCAAAGAGCACAGTCCCTTTGCAATTGGGGTGCTCGGAGCTTTCTGAGCACCCAAGAACTTCAAGGCAGTACCAAACAGAAACTTACCAGACAGCAAGTGAGTGAATTTTCTCTCAGTTAGTTAATCAAAGGCTCTCAGTAGATCTGTCTTCTTTCTTTTGGCTCAGAAGGAAAAGCATTTCCTGGCACTGGCTTGTTAAAAATATCTAAATTGAAAGCATTTTTAAAAACATGCTGGTATGAGGGAGTCTCTGGCCCTCCCACAGCCCACTGAGGCCTGCAGTGGCAGGGAGTGGTCCCTGAGACTGGCTGGCCAATTGGGAGGCGCCTGGACCGCTCCTGAACTGCCCTGGTCTGTACCTGTTGCAGGTGTGGCTGGGGCCAGGTGTGTCAAAGGTCCACTGTCACAGGGCCTGGAAAGTCCATGGTCAAGTCACCAGCTTCTTCTCGGACAGCCTCCCGGATAAGGACACCGAGCAGGAGGGAGCAGGCCCACAGGATGCACCGGAAACATTACTCTGCTCTTCCCAGACCCAGAGGAAGCCACGGACCGAGTTAGAATTGAGGCAGAGCAGACTGGGAAGCGCTAGAATTGGAGTCTGAGGAAAAGACCCCCAGGTTCTACAGCCATGTTCCCAGGCCCATTTTCCCTGAATCTTTAAGCCCAAGCTCTGCCACACTTGTGAAAAATTTTAGTTTTAAGATGTAATTTGATTAAATTTTCATCATGGGGGGGGCTGGATGATTAAATTATAAAATAAACCATGTGATTTAGCAGTTCATTGCTATACACTTAGGAGAAATGAATACATAAGTTCACACAGAAACTTAAGCCTGAACTTTTATAGCAGTATTATTCACAATAGCCCCTATATGGGAAAAATACAAATGTCCATCAAGTGATGAACACATAAACAAAATGTGGGATGTTCATATAATGGAATATTAGGCAGCAATAACAAAGAATGAAGTGTCTACACATGGTGCCATATGGATGACCCTGGGAACATTATGCTTAGTAAAGAAAAGCCAGTCACAAAGGACCACATATGGTATGATTTCATTTATAATGTCATTTATATAAAATGTCATTATATAAAATGTGGTCATCTGAGGTACGGGCCTTAGAAGGGTGATAACTAAGGGTTGTAGGATTTTTTAGGGGTAATGAAATTTCTAAAACGGTGCCCTTAGTTGCATAACTGTACTAAAAGCCATTGAACACATACTTTAAAAAGGTAAATCTTACAGTATGTGAATTATTTTTCAATAAAGTTAAAAGTCACACTATAGGTAAACCATGGAATGCTAGGTAGCTGTGAAAAAGAATGTGGAAGTCATTTGTGTACGAATGTATGAAAATCTCCAAGGCAGATTGTTAAACAAATAAAGACAGAGCAACAAACGGAGAGAAAAATACTGTATAGGTGTTGAAAAGCCGCTGGAAGAATGTCCAGGAAGTGAAGAACAGGAGTTACTAAAGGAGGGGAGAACATGACCATGGCGGGCAGGGTGAGAGGGAGAAGTCTCATCCTGTATTCTTCAAGCGTTGGAGTATTTTAACTCGACGTGCGTGTGCGCATGGCCTTGGTCGGCGTGGAACAGCAGGCTGCTTCGGGAGGGGGAGGGCACATCCGGGCACCTGTCCTGCAAGCGAGCCTCGGGACCTGGGTTCTCTGTGACGTCCTGGCCTTCAGCTAAGGAGCATGTTGGCATGGGATGTGGGAAATGGCAAGACCCCAGAAATGGACAGATAGAAGGAAAGACGGCTGCTAAGCAGACATTATGCTACACAGAGTCCAGGCCAGCCCATGTCGCAGAGCGGTTACTTACATTAAGAAAGGATTCTGTGTCAAGTGTTTGAGTTAATTTCTACCTCTTAGGATCGAGGGAAGTAGGGTTTAATATTTCCATGTAGGGAGAGGAACACCCAGGCTCAGGGAAGTAACTGACCTACTCTCGCGTGGTTCCAGAGGTGGATTTTCGGACACCAAAGTCGTTCTCCCACCCTGAAGGTCCCATTCAAGCCAGAGCCGGAGTGTAAGGTCATGGATTCTCCCACTCGCTTGCCCTAGGGGTTAAATTGTACACTGCCCCTGTTAAGGCATATCCAGGACTTTAAAGGTCTCCCTGTTGGCCAACACTAACCTGGGATGGTGAAGTCAGGATAATGAATTCCCTTCACTTACCCTTCAGGTGAGTTAAAGCGTGTGTGTGTCGGGGGCGGGGGGTCTTGCTGCTTGTTATGGCTGTGCCTGGGTTTGTTGGGACAATTCACAGGGCTTCACATCTATGCTATGCACACTTTTTTGTATGAATTTATGTTCAGTATACACCTCTTCCTGTCGTTTCACTAGCGCAGAAAGCCTCAACAGGCAGTGGGAAATGAAGCTTAAGGTTTATAGGGAAAAATGTAAATGCTCTTTTTAAACAAGATTCTGCGTTAGTCATGGCTGTTCCCACATGGTAGCAGCGAATGAAGAGCACCTGTCCCTGGGGGCGAGGGTGGTCAAGATATGGTCACAGCAGAGGGTGGCAAGCTGCCTGCCTGCTGATGCAGGGAGAGTGACGCCAGCTGATGCTTACATAACAATGACATGGAGCGGCCTGAACCCCTAGGAAGGACGAGCATTTTCTTCTGGCTTGTGTACACCTCCGTCGCCCTCCAGTTTAGTCCAGATGCATACTAACCTTTGCAATCAAGCAAAGCCACTTACCCAGAAAATATTTGTCTGAGCTACAGTTCTGGGAGAAAGAGCTCCATACACCCTGGTACCTTTGATGTTGGAGATCTAATTAATTCTGCTGGAAGCCCAGGTTGTTGTTGTTGTTGTTGTTTTCTTGTCCAGCTGAAGAGCCAGTCACATTAGAAGACTCCACATTGGGGGTGGAGGAGGCAATGATGTGGACTTGACTTTCCAAAAATTGTTTCTTTTAAAGAAAAGAAACAGACACTTTCGCACATTGGCGTTTCAAAAAATGTCCATCAATAAATGGTCACAGCCACACTTGAGTCTCAGGAGAATTCTCTGAGAGGCAGACCTCACCACTGAGTTCTGATGCCCAGTAATGAAAAAAGACATGTAAAATGACAGTGGAGGGACCTTGTGGATTGCAACAAGCTTCTTCCTCACCTCCTTCTCCAGAAAAAAGCCTTCCCAGCCAAGAATACAAGCTCTTAGTGTTTCCTCCCTTGCTGTGGTGTGACCCTTCAGGGAACATTTTTTTAAAATCCTCTGATTTACCTTGATCATCTAACATGTACTTTAATCAGCCTACATCAAGATTATCTATGCATCAAACAACCTAGAATCAAAACTCATAAAGCAACTGTAGTAGAAAATAAGAAAATATGGCAGAAGCAACCCAGAAACAGACAAATTTAATTGGAGACTCAGTACAAAATAGAAAAAGTAGACAAACATTTTAAGTATAGAAATCAAAATATGTAATTGATGTAGTTAACAGGCAGATCTAGTTGGATACGTGTTAAACTCTATGCCCCAAAATACAAAATTTACTTTATTTTTTAAGAACCATGGAAGTTTCTCACACAAATATAGTTTTTCAGTAAAGGACACCTCAGAACACTTTTTAAAAGTACTTCCTATTAATAAGTACTAAGAATAAAAATTATTATTTTTTTTGGTACCGAGGATCAAACTCCAGTCCTTGTGCTTTCGGAGCAGACAGTAGAACCACTGAGCAAAATCCCTGGCCCTAGAATAAAAATTAATTTTTAAAAATTAAAAATGTAATTTTGCCACTTGAAAACTAAAGTTATTGGGTCAAAATAATTATATCATAAAGAACATAATAAAAATATAAATAAAAATGGATTTATCAAAAAATGGGGGTAAGGACAATCTTTTTAACAAATATTACTGGAAAAATTTTATATTCATGTGCAGAGAAGAAAGAGAGATTGGAGACCTTTACTTCTCATGCCATAAACATTAACTCAAAATGGACCATCAACTTAAATGCAAGATCTAAAACTAATGATATTCTGAACAGAGAAGAAAATCTCCCTGACCTCAAATATAATAAAATTTGTAAAACATAAATTTTATATAATATAAAATTTCTTGTATATAATATCAAAAGCATAATCTATAAAAGAAAAGAATCTGATAAACTGAACTTCATTAAAATGTGACACACTGGGGGGTATTGCTTGCAAGTCATATATCTGGTAAAGGACTCATATCCAGAATATTTGATGTAGTCTTACAATTTAGTAGTAAGAAGACAAACATCCCAATAAAAAGTAGAAGGATTTTAATAGGTGCTTCACCAAGGAAGATATACAGGTGGCCAAGAAGCACATAAAAAGTTGCTCAATGTCCTCAGTCATTAAGGAAATGCAAATTAAAAGACACACAATGATACATCATTACACACCCACTCTCACAACAAATATATTTTTCATAGTGAGCATTGGCCAAGATGTTGAAAAACAAGAGCTCTCATCCAATGTTAAATGATACAGCTACTCTGGAAAGTAGTTTGGCATCCTCAACACAAATCTTAAAGGCAAGAAGAGCATGAAATGAAGCGTTTTAAGCTCTTAAAGAAAATAACTTCTAAACCAGACTCTTATATCCTGCAAAATTATCTTTCAAAATTGATGAAGATGTAACATACTTCCATGATAAACAAAGCCTAAAGAAATTCATGACCACCAAACCGACATTCCAAAAAATTCTCAAGGATATCATAGAAGGAAATAATGAAGCTAACAATGCCAAAAGGTCCAATAAAATGAACACATGAGATAGGGCTAGAATTAAGTAGAAGCGAAAGAAAGCAAAACAGCAACAGGAAATTAATACAATGACAGAGATAAGTCAATACCCATCAGTCATAACTATCAATGCAAATAGACTCATCAGTCAAGACACAGATTAACAGAATAGATCAAGAAACAAAATCCAACAGTATGACAAGAATACAAGAAACACATTTAATACAAAAAGAAATTCATAGACTAAAAATCAAAGGATGGAAAACAATATTCCATTCAACAGGAACCCCAAAACAAGCAGGAGTAGCTATCCTATTTTAGGACAAAGTGGATTTCAAGCCAAAGCTGATCAAAAAAGGCAAAGAAGGACATGACATATTGGTTAACAGTACTGTTCAACAAGAAGAGATAACAATTATAAACTTATATGCACCAAACCATTGTGCACCCAATTACATAAAACAAACTCTAATGAACGTAAAAGATCAGATGAACATCAATACAGTTATAGTGGGGATCGCAATACCCCAGTATCACAAATAGGTCAACTAAAAGAAGCAGACAAAAAAAATGCAAGTTGGGTGTGGTGGTGCATGCTTGTAACCCCAGCACTTCTGCAGGCTGAGTCAGGAGGACTGCAAGTTCAAGTCCAGCCTGGACAATTTAGTAAGTTAGTGAGACCCTGTCTCAAAATGAAAAATAATAAAAGGCCTGGCTTAGTGTGAAGGCTCTGGTTTCAATCCCTGGTACTGCACAACAACAACAACAACAATAATTGGAAATAATAGCAGAATTTAGAAAAGCAGTGACACTAATAATATGTGTAAGAGCTGATTTCTTGTGGAGGAAGAGGGGATGAAATAAAGTGGAGAAATAACTAGCTGCCCTAATAAAGGAAAAAGGACAAATATATAAAATAATAATTGTGAATGGAATATAACCATAGATATGAATAAAATCACATAAAGATTTTTTCAATTCTATGTAAATAGATCCCAAATGGATGCTTTTCTAGAAAAATATAAACGACCAAAAGTGATCCCTAAAAGAGATTTTAGGAATAAGAAAATACTGGTGATTTGGAAGATGTTAAAAAAAAAAAACCTTGGTAAGAAAAAATTATTCATCCACAGAAGCACGTTTTATTCAGCAGTTTCAGAAGTGAATCCCACTGAACCTTACTGGTTGGAGAATTCTATTGTTTCAAAACTTCTCTAAAGAGCATAGAGAAGGAGAAACTCTTCTATATTATTCCGGTAATTTGTATATCAATGATAACCAGATACAATCACCATAATCTAAGGAAATCTCAGGTGAGTTTCACTTATGTATTTAGATGTAAATATTGCAAATATATTATTAGCCAATAGATCCAACAGTGGATGAAAATAATTACAGAAAAGGTGTCCAATATTTTAAAAACCCATTGCTGTGATTTACCACAGAAATATGACTCAATAAAATGTGTTCATCCTCATAGATGATATACACTGGTTAAATTACAATTACATCCTGATTTTAAAAACCTCGATAAATTCTCTGAGGTACTTCTCTAAGAAGCTAAGTTAAATATATCTCAAGTCAGAAACTAGACTTATGTTTAATGGGGAAAGATTGGAAGCATCTCAGCATAGTGCAAAATGAGACTCCCTTCCGTGTTGTGACACTGTCATTTAGTATTGTACTGAGGAACCATTTGATCCATCCAGACAAAACTGAGCAGGAGGCTCAAAAACTGGAAGAGGAGAAGACAAATGTTCCCACTGACTGTATGATTGGAAAAATTAAGAACATAAATTACAAAACTATTAAGAGCAGTAGGACAATTTACTAAGCCAAGAGGGCACAAAATAAATATTTTTTTAAAAATCCAAGAATCTATACAGCAATAACTTTGTAAATACATTTGAAGAAAAGATTCCTTTTACAATAGGAGCAAAAACAACAAAAAAGGTAAAACACCCAAGAGCAGAACAATTGTACAAGATTCATATAAAGAAAAATCTGAAAACAGAGGGACAAAAGAAAGACTTGACTAAATGCAAGCATGTCTCCTATTCTTGGAGAAAGAGAATCACCTGTACAAAGATAACAATTCTCCCCCTTGTTAAGCTATAAAATAATATAAGCCCAAGGAGATAATAGAGGATTTATGTGATGTTGCTTTGTTTTGTTTTGACTTACAGAACTACACTGAATACCTAAATGCTCTTGTTCCATTTATTAATGACCTTGCTTTTCTTTCTTCCTTTCCAGTGAAATATTTTGCGCTTTCCAGGCCCCCTTTTCTCTCAGTACTGTATAGTGAGAAGAATTCTAGCTTTTAAACTGGCATGGTGGTACATGCCTGTAATCCCAGGATGCTGGGAGGTTGAAGCAGGAGGATCAGAAGTTCAAGCCCTCCTTAGTTAACAACTTAGTGAGATTCTGTCCCAAAATATAAAATAAAACAGGATGGGAATATAGTTCAGGGTAGAGGCTCTCATTTCAGTCTCCAGTAACACACACACACACACACACACACAGGAAAAAAAAAGTGATTCCTCCTTTTGGGATTGAAAAATCACAGCAAAATTGCATCAAACTAAAGAGAATAAAAAGTCCCTTCCTCCCATGCAGCTGCAGAGAAGAGTGATAGCGTTCTGTATTGCAAACACCGTCCTTGCTGTTGTTATTCCAGCAAAGGAATGGTAGGTCACCTGGTTTGAGGGTGCTGGTGGATCCGGGGAAAACCAACCCTGAACTTCCCCAGAGGCTAATACCCAAACTGGTTGGCCAGGCAGAAATATTTAAATCGATCTCTGTTTTCTCCAAGGTATTAACATTGGTGAACTTTGTTGTGCTTCTCCCTTCTGTCATAGGAAGCGCTGGTGAGCAGATTGTTAGATTTTAAACAAGGAATTTGAAAGCCTAGCCTCATTCAAATTAGCATAGACAAGTCAAAGCTAAACTTTATGTGGAAAATTGAACATATATGGAATATTGAACATGCAAGAATAGCTAAGAACATTCCAGGAGAAAAGGAATGAAAAAATATATTGCTATGAGAAGTTAAAACATATTGTAAAACCACAGAAATTCAATGTGCTCGATCCTGGCTTGGAAATAGGAAGTTGGATCAGTGGCACATAATACAGTCCAGGAGTAGATTCAGAACATTCAGGAAAATAATGTAAAATAAAGGGAACATTTTAAGTCAGTAGAGAAAAGACAAGTGAGCCTGGAAGTGGATGGGATAAATGGAGTAGATGTCTGGAAAAGAATAAAATTGGATCTCTATTCATACCAAGATAAACTCCAGATGGAAATATAAATGCAATAGACCCAACAGTGCATAGAT